CCACCGTCTTCTGGAGCTCATCACTGACCTGCTGCAGAAAAACCGCAGGGTATCTTCGGCGTCCCCCTCAATGTCAGCATCAAATATGCCAACGTCGCTATTTCCCTGACGAATGACAATGGCGAAAGCTTTATCTACGGCTATGTGCCCATTGTAGTCGCGAAGTGCGGGGTCTTCCTCAAGGAAAAAGGTACATACTCCGGATGAGAACTTGTCGGTCAGTTGGCTGATCTGTGGGTTAGCGACGGATGTCGAAGGCATATTTCGACTCAACGGATCCGCCAAGCGCATCAAGGATCTGCAGGAAATCTTCGACTCTCCCGAGCGATATGGAAAGGGCTTGGATTGGACGGGCTATACCGTACACGATGCTGCTAACGTCCTCCGTCGGTATCTGAACCAACTCCCCGAGCCGATCGTTCCATTGGAATTCTACGAGCGCTTCCGTGAACCCCTACGCATTTATCAGAAACAGGTCCAGGGTGGTGAGCCTACAAGCGAAGGCGAGAAGTTCGACCATGCGAAGGCGGTCGCCGCGTACCAGCAGCTGATCAGAGAGCTGCCCCCATTGAACAAGCAACTGCTCCTCTACATTCTCGATCTGTTGGCGGTCTTCGCTTCCAAGTCTGACCAGAATCGGATGACATCGGCCAACCTCTCTGCGATCTTTCAGCCCGGCCTGCTCTCTCACCCGCAGCATGATATGTCGCCGGAAGAATACAAGCTGAGCCAGGATGTGTTGATATTTTTGATCGAGAACCAGGATCACTTCCTGTTCGGCATGAACGGGACCGCTGCAGACGAGGCGACGGTGAAGGAAGTGGAAGGGGGTATGCTGCGCCCCACCTCCCATTCCACAGTGCGGCGCTCCGTCTCGAGTGCTAGTGGTGGTGCAGAGAGTTTCCGGAAATTTGGCAGTCTTCGCCGAAATGTTTCGGTGTCTTCCAAGAACTCTCGCAATTCGAACAATGCCAGCCCCGCAACCCCCACGTCCATGAGCGGCGCGGGAGTTCACCGAAGCAACACTCTACCCACCAAAATGTCGCCGGCCATTGCGCAAGCCAGATACGGCCGAGTGACTGAAGCTACTGGTGGGAATACTCCAGGACGGACTTCGACCCAGCGCTCGCGGTCGCCGAGCCGGGCACCGCCTGGCCCTGAGCAGAACCCCCAACCCGCGAAACCTCAGCCCGCACCACAAGGCGCGGGAACTGCCACCACAGGTCTCGTGTATGTTCATACATCTACCCACGGTCCGATTCCGGTTTCCCAGGCCACTGCCACCCACTCGCCTATTGCAGAAAAGCCTTCTCAGGATACGTTGACGGTGCCCTCTTCGCCTCCGCGGGCCGCAGTGACCCCGACAAAGGAGCGGAAGTTATCCAGTTTCTTCAGCAAGTCGCCGCCTTCGGGTAGCGAGAAGGAGCCACGGCAGCCCAACCGGCTCAAGAAGAAACGAATCCCAGGAAGCGCTAGTGCCAGTGCACAGAGTTCATCCCAGTCCCTACAAGCTGCCACGTCTGACTCGGGAATTAGCATTCCACCGCCCAGGGCGTCTGATCCTACCGATGCTGGGGGAGACACCCCGAAACCTCTGAGCGCCCCTAATCCAGAAGATAATGCCCCGCAAGATGTGAAACCGGAGAAGTCAGCGGCTCCGAACGAGGCTGGACACCCATCCGATACTACTTTGAGGCCATATGGGTCACGCACTCCGTCGATGAACTCGCGGTCATCATTCACCGATCTTTCGGATGCTGATCCCACTGACGAGACCTCTCGCGCAGACCGCAAAGAGCATCGGCGGAGCTGGAGGTTTCCTCGATCGTCAAAACGGAGTAATGAGCAAATCGGACTCGGACTAGGATCCCCGCCGCTCTTGGCTTCGAACCCGGGCGCGGATCGCAGTACAAGCTCGTTTGGCAGCTGGCATCACTCGAGCAAAAGCTCGCCGTCCGATCTCCAGCAGTTCGCCAGCGAACACTCATTTCAGCCGCTCAGCCTGGATGCTGAAGTGAACAACAATGGTAAGGACTCGTCCGAGCCGGAGAAGCGCAGCCTGTTCGGAAAATTTAAGGCCAAGGTTGCGCAGGTTCGGGACGGAGTCATGGACACCGAAAGGGATCGGACAAGGAGTCCTCCCGTACATTCAGACGCAGAGAAATCTGCCTCCAGTCAGACACTCTCCCCCGCCCCGAAGGAGAGCAATCACACGCGACCTGCACCGCCGGCGCCAATTGATGTGACAAGAGAGCTCAAGGACATCCAGAGCACGCCAGTGTCCCCTCTTCCTGGGTCAGGTTTGCCGCCGGCAATCCCGGAAGAACCACGCACCCCGGACAGTCCGGCTGTACCCGTCGAGCTGGAGGTGAAGAAGGACAACGGGGTGGAGGAGACGGGGTCTGCGGCGACTCTTCCAACATTTGAATCCCACAAGGGAGACATTGAGACCTCTCAGTTCCTTGGGAACTAGTGTACCATTTTTTTTTAACAAACTTGACTTTAATTGGGTTCGAATCTTCACGCCGAGCCTGTGCCTGGTCATGTTTGGTATGTCTTGACCATGTGATTGCTACTGGAGCAGGGATATGACGGAGAACTTTGGGTGATGATTGATGGGTTGTTTCGTATTTCTTTTGTTTTTCATACCCCGTATTTCTTGGTGATGCTTGATGGGCCATGATTCATGTATGTATGTTGCTTCTTTGGCTTGGTGCCATGTTGAATAGGACGGTTAGCGTGAGCTCTGGATGGGATATATAGAGCTTGGATTTGAAGGGCAAGTAAAGAATAGATGCTTAGTATCTAGACTTGAATGTCATTATTACTTATTATCCAACATGGTCAATAAAACAACACGATAAAAACTTGTAGTAATTGAGTGGAATAAGAAAACCATCCGAAAACAGACACCTCAGGCACCCTTCACCTCGGCACCCACTAAAGACGCCTAAGGCACCAAAGAACAACCCTCGATCCGCATCTCCGAACCCATCCATCCTCCACCATTACATACTTCTCCTCAAGCCACCCACAACAACAAACCCACGAGGCAATTGGGCGCAAGCCCAACCAAAAAATAAAAGAATCACACCAAAAATGTCCTCGACACCCCCCTCCCCCTCCCTAGCCCAGGGTCCAGCACCCCCCAAATCCGCTCCCCCAATCCACGTCCTACCAAACAACATCTCAAAAACCTACGCCCTCATCCACCCAGTCCTCCTGCTCGCCCTGGTCGCCCTCCGCTTCGATGCTCTCGTCACCGACCCCGTCGCTGAGCTGCTCAGCAACCTCCCCTTCCTGGCCCTGCTGCAGGTAACCTTCGTCATGACCTGTCTTCCACCCGCGGGGTCCGCAAAGGACGACGACGACAACAACAAATCCACCAGCGCCAATTCCACCTCGAACTCAACTTCCAACGCAGGCTCAGGCGTAATCCTTAAACCAGGCAAAATCGGTCTCCGGCGCAAGAACACTCCAAAGTCGGACTCGGGGAATCTTTCTGCTAAACTTCTTGTACGCATTTAATGCCGCTTCCCCCCCCCCCCCCCCCCCAAAATACTTACCCTCGTCCCCTATCCTGTTCATAGAACACCATCCTCCTTCTCCATATCCATATATATATGTATACAAAAATATATTCTACACAGAACACCAAACAAAGCCCAACCAACACAAAGCACACACCATGAAAAAAACTAACAAAATAAATAGCCAGCAATCCTCTCCCTAACCCTAACAACCCTCCTCGCAACCCCCGTGCTCACAATCCTCCTTATCCTCTTCGGCGCCCCGCTAACAACTCACCACGCCGAGACACTTCTCTGCGCTGCGCACATGGCCGTATTGACATCCACGGCGCTCATCTACGTTCACGGCGTGGACGGTTCCATCTGGAAAGAGGTCTGGGGTGCCAAGAGACCCGCCGATGCGGTTTGGGGTGCTGCGCTGGGAACGTGTGTTGGGGCTTGGTTTGGTGCTGTGCCTATTCCTTTGGATTGGTATGTTCTCCTCCTTTCCCCTTTTTTTTTTTTTTTTGGGTGTTGGTGTTGGCCTTGGGGTGAATGTGCTAATTTGTTACGTTTGTAGGGATCGGCCGTGGCAGGCGTTTCCGATTACGATTCTTATTGGGGCTTATATTGGGTATAGTGTTGGGTTTGGATTGGGGAGGACTGTTTTGTTTGGGAAGAGGTTGAAGATTGAGGAGGAGGGTGATGTTGTGGATTCGAAGAAGGTAGATTGATTTTTTTTTTTTTTTTTAATATTCTTATATCTTATTGGACTGGGATTGATGGGTATGGGTGGTTTAAACTGGGTTTAGATATTCATTCGGTTGGTGGGGAAGTATGTAGTTTGTATTTTAGATTTATAATTATTTCTTAGACAGTATTAATATTGTATCAGTATTTATTACTTTGGTTTTCTTGGGTAGAGAGAAGTGAATTTATTTTATAATTGCATGTTGTATTGCATGAGGTTGGATGATGCTTCAACTAGTTTGGAATTTATATATATTCAAATCTATGAGCAACCGGTGCTATCTAATATCCAAGGATGATAACATTGCTGAGAACAGTCTAGCAGAATGACCAATCATTACATAGTCGTGAGCTGGGAACATGATACGCAGAAGCGTAGTGGAGGGAATGGCCAATAGCCAAGTGCAAGGATTAAATCGCAAGGAAGACAGCTTCCATGCCGGTAAGAAACCCTGTCATAATGCAGTGGTTATAATAAAAACCGAGGTTAAGCGCTGGTCACGAGCCCGCGGCTCGGTCAGATCATATTGCCAATTTCCACTCCCCGGTTTGGCGGCCATCTCGGCCGAAATACATCTTCCTTTGGCGTGTCGGATCGATCGTAATCCGAATCACTCTCGTACGGTGAACCGAGTTTCACTTCCGTACGGACAGAGGTAGTCTGTGGATCCCCCATCGTATTGGAGTCTGGACGCATGAACTCCTGCGAGTCTGCGCTCGGGATTGGGTACATTGTTTTGAGACCCATGGAATTCCTGGCCAGCTGTTGCAGCTGCTGGATATCCGAACGGAGGCCGGAGACCTCGTGTTCGAGGCTGCGGCGGGCATTTTGTTCTCGCCGCAGGAGCATGACCAAAGCGCTGTACTGTTCTACGGAGATGCCGGCGTTATGGTCACTGAGTGAGCTTAAAGAGGGGCTTTGTAAGGTTTTGGAACGATGAAGGTGCTGTGTGCCGGGACGGATGGTAGCGGTGCTCAACGGCCGATCTCCCGCCGATCCTACGCTGGACGTAGCTTCACCCCCGGATGGTGGGGACTGAGTCGTAGACTTTTTGCGCTTGTGCTCAGTCGAATTCTGTGATTGTTTCCTCCCTGACGTCGTGGGAGAAGGTTCACTGCGTTCGGTCTGCATGCGGGCGATAGCAAATTCGAGGTCAATCAGTTTCACCTCCAAGGTAGTCAATCGCTGCTCCAATGAGATACTCTCATCGTGCTGCATGGCGCTGACCAATGTGCCCACATTTGGCGGTATGCTCTCTTCGTCCACAGGGTTTTCTAAGGGGTCCACTCCATCCACTGACGGCTCAACAGCCGTCTGAGGGGCACTGACTGCAGTGCCCCGTGTCGCGGGTCGGAGGGACACCAAATCCGTGTCGGAAGCTGCACCACAAGCGGTTGACGTGACGTAAGACTCGATACTACGTCGCCGCCATTGAATAGGAGACATCCGGTGGTTTTTGGCCAAACCCCGCAGAGCGGTTGCGCTCCGTGAGCGTCGTTTGCTGCGTAGAAGCTCGCGCCGTCGCTCATCATGATCACCAAGGCGGGGGCTTTTACTTCGACTGTCCGCGGGGTCCGAATGTATTAAGGCATCGAGGGCATCGCGAGACTCGTCGTCGTCCGAAAAGATCAAGCTCGGCAACGTGGCTCGGCGGGTTCGGGTTGGCCTCATTTCGAGTTTGAGCAATGTATCTTCAAAAGCTTTCGGATCCTTCAGGTCGTCCCGGGTCGGGTTGCTGTATTTCGATTTCAATGAATTCGAGAGCGCGGCGTAATTCGTTGTATCCTTATCTGGCCGTGCTTCGCCAGGATGGTTGAGTCGAAAGTCCGGAACAGCCTCCTCACAGCCGTCTGCCTGGCCCCGTGCTTTGCGGGTGAATATTCTTCTCATGACGGTTTTCAAGGTGCTTCCGGTCCGGCGATGGGCGTTGGGTCCCCGGTTCATGCTCGACATGTCTGGGGCGAAACCGAGGGCAGCCGCAGCTTTTTGGTTCCCACGAAAGCTTCCTACCACGATGGACGGATCGGAGCCGCGGTACGATCGAGAGTTGACAATCAACTGTTTGGACGTGATGGGTGGCAGGGCTGTATCGTAACAAATGTCGGACCCGGAGTCCGATGATAGATCACGAGGCGCTAGACAACTTCGCAGGGAGTCACTTCCAATACTGAGACTTGGGCGGGACATGCTGAAGGAATCTCGATGACGCTGTATCCGGGAGAGACGATCGAAAAAATACAAGGAGATGATGGGTTCATAGAATGAGTGGATGCAGCGGTGTACCACTAGGTAAGCAGTAGATTATCGGAAAGAGGTAGCGACAGTCAAAATAGAAAAGAAAGGCTTCAAATGCAAGGTCGACGTATGGGTATCTCAAAATTTCGACGATATCAGGTACGGCTATAGACACGGGGAGTCAGCGTAATTGAGTGCAAGCAAACTACGAAAGCGCTAACCTTGACAGGAGATAAAATCATCATCTATAGGCTGCCGAACCTGACCAAAGGATCCCGAGAACGTCAGCCGTGATCCACCGGTAGAACCGACTATATATAAACTTACCAACAAAGAGAGACCAGAAAGGGAACAACAACTAGGTTGGTAGCACGGTGGTATGGCGTTCGCATCCAACAACCCGGCATTTCTCTCCAGAGGAAACCAACAACCAGAGCCGAAGTGAGCAGGGCGCAGAGTCAAGACTAAGTTCACCAAACGAGGGACCAGGGTCGTCTTAGGGGCAGAGGAAATAAACTTCACCACGCGGAGGATTTACCGCCACAATGGGGGATGAGACTGGGGAGGGGAGAATCACTGAAGCTTATCAAACAGGGGACGGTATGGAGGGAATGATAGTGGGCTCTGATGCATTGCGTTTGGCCAACAGAAGGGAGGGAATGAGGGGAGGGAGGAGTAGGAATGGAAAAGAGAGAGAGGGGGTGTGTGTGGAAGGAGAAGAAGAAAAGGAAAATTAGAGTAATGGAAGAATAATAATAATAATAATAATAATAATAATAAATAATAATAGTATGATGGTAGGAGTAGGTTAGTAGTTTGTATAGTTGCCTTAAAGAGGTTCAAACTCAACACGGTCCGGCTAAGAGGTAAGACTAATGAATTCCTGCAGACTCGAAGAAGGAATCGACGGGAATGAAGGAGAGGGGGAAAATAGAAGGGAAAAAAAATAATAATAAAGAAAGAAAATAAAAAAGAAAAGTGACCGGATTAGGTCTAGGAGAATAAAAGCATAGAGGAACCTAAGATTGACCAGAACGAAGAAAGGAAAAGAGAGAGAGAAAGAGAGAGCATAATTGATCCCAATTGCTCCGAGACGGACGGCATTACAGTGGAGAGTCCACTTGGTGTGCCGTCGACAAAAAGAGCCCGTGCACGGACTCGCTCTTGTTTCAGGAGTTCCAGAATTTTCAGGGGTAAAATTTTAGATTAAAAAAAGAAAAAATTAGAAAAATAGAAAAATTTAAAAATTTAAAAAAAAAAATTATTTAATTTAACAGAATTTCAAATTATTCAGACGGAGTAAATGCTTGCCGGATGTCCGTATGTGTGATGCAATCAATCTATCTTGTTGTCTCTCGAGTTAATCTTGTCAAATCTTGTCTATCTCGTATATCTTGGATGTTTACATCTGTAGATGACCATATATTGATTCGTATTTATAGTTTTTTTTTTTTATAGAATGTATGAATGGTTGATCTCTCAATACCCATGGATCGGCTTCTCCAGAGTGACAGATCATTTTTTTTTTCCCACTTGCTGCCTTGCTGCACCGAAACTTCCATAAATTGAATACATTCATTCTTCGCGTCCAATTGACTTTCCTTGTCGCGTTGATCATGCGCTATTCAAGACTTATTATTGACGGCATACATGAAGTAACATTCCACATGGCGCCACATGGGTAAAAACACGAGCCTGAGGCATAGGGTCATGTGCAGCACATCACCACAAACCTTGACATTCAGATGATTTTCATAGTCCGATCGATAGTACTCTCCGTACTCTCTACATACCCATCATATTTTCCCCATACAGAATACACATTCAACCACCATTCTCTGAGAAATCCAGTCTTCGATTCTCTTCTCCCATTTTCGATTTATTTATTCTTCGCAAACCCAGTCCCTTCTCCCCCTCGAATCCTCGGCCCTCCAAACGAAGGATCCTCGAATACAGTTTGGCCCCATTCCAACACTCTCCCAGTCCTAAACTTAGGTGCGGTTGCCGAGCATCAACCATGGAACGCTTGTCAGGAACTCTCCTCCAGTGCACATCATTCGCTATCGACCAACAAGCAAAGCAACCAACTTTTTGCTATCGTCTCCACCCATTCAAAGCCTCCCAGCACGGACACGATTCCACGGTACACCAGTAAATAGTTCGGTTAGTCTAGCTTTATACGGCCAATGCAATGATGTATCGATTCCTCTCTCGGAAGGACCCCCCAGCACGATATCAAACCATTTTGCCGTGATAAGATGACCAAGTCTTTCGGAGGTGGGAAGAGTTTGCCTCACCGCTATTCCAACTGGTTTTCTACTTTTTCTTCCCGACACGGTCGCCAACGGACACAGCGCATACTCCCCGAAGCAAGGATGAAACTCGTCCAAGGAACGATGTCCGTGACGAACCTCTGGGTCTGCAATCTATCTGCTCCGGTTTAATCTATACGCAACGACGGGTATCGCTTCTCGGTCAGGGCATCCGAACACTCCCCACTAACGATCTCATACCGACCTTTTGTGGCATAGAGGGGACAATTGTGCACAAGATCCTCCACTCTTAACGGTTGGAAAAAAACGGGAGGCCTAAAACAGGCTCCTTCCCCTCATAGTGAGTCTGAAACGCGAAATGGACCAATTGGAGAGGGATCACAGTCGTGCCATCCAGACCAGTCAACAAAGTGGAGAGAGAGCCGAGTTCAGCCTGCATATGATGTCAATTGCACGATTCTGTTCTCAATGATACTACTCACATTTTCCCCCAAGAAAAGTAAGTCGTCAAGATTACAGATCATTTTGTTCTTGAAATAGCACACACATTCAGAGATCAAGAATCGCCGCCTTGTATCACTTTGCTTCACCTCTCATGTTTACTTTTTCTGTCCAACATTCCCAGACGTTAGCGTTTCACCAGAGAGCAACATCCGGCAACAGCAAGAATTATGAAAATAGAGAAAATACTTCGCAGACGTCAGAATACCCGAAACGGGCCTTGCAGTGACAGTCTTATGCAATGATGCGCTGGACATGCATGGTAAGAGTGGAACCCGCCAAAAGCTGAGACGCACCAAGTGGCCCCCCTTACAGGTGTTCTCCACAGTCCATCCAGGCCAGGACACGATTTCTGAGGCCTCGTCCGGGACGTCGCTCGTCTCGTTCGCTCGTCGAGAATGCGATCGGGTAGACCTGCATAACCCTGGGAAAATCGATGGGATCTGATTGGACGCCCTGTCCGATCTGAGAATTTTGGAAAATGTCGTATTACCCTGTCGTTGTACAGGACCAAGCATGCATATATACTCCGCTGACACTTACGTTGACACTGCGGAATATCTATCATGTACAACACAACTCCGAACCTCGACCTCAATTCAACATCCACCACACCCACACCCCATACTCCATACCCCCAGCTACAACAGCTCAGAAAGAATGATCATACCCTAAACCAGCTACATCCCCGAACCCAAGCAACCCCAGACACCACCAGTAACCCACCTGAAACGCCCACCAACCTTCTATTTATATGCTCCCCAGCTACGTCCAAACAAACACTAGAAACCCCCCCCAAAAATCCTCAAAATCACACCATCAAAACCCACCAACCCCACAAAATAATATATAAACACCTATCTCGGCAATAACCATAAACCAAAAAGTAGCACCATGTTTAGCGGCACGATAACCACCCGAAACGAGCAAATCAGAACCCCCCAAGGCGATAACGCCCGTGCCCACGAAGATAATCGGAGAGACGGACTGTACCAGAGTCCCGACGCTTAGCGGCAAATGTCAGCGCTGATCGCGAACGGGCCCTAGACCAGTCTAGTAGTGAGCGACGTCTCCGTTGAAAAACTAAGAGGGGCGGCGGGACGGGTTTGCACGGTATTTGGAATTGTTGCATTTGTGTTTTTTCTCTACCCCTGATGATCTTTCCAGTATAGTATTCACTGAGTAAAGAAAGTATTATGGTGTAGAGAAAGAGATGATACAGCCGGGTTTGTAGGTCGTGGTTTATGCTGACGGCTTCTAGTGGTGTTCTGGATATGCACACTGCATAAAGGATTTGGGGGCCCTCGTGCTAGTAGAGGTAAAGCCAAGACGACTAGGGATTTAGGCTCCATGCGAGATCGCAGTCAGCGTTGACGTGGCAGGTCTAGAAGCCTTCCCCTCACTAGGATGGGGGTTTTGGTATGCAGGTTTGGGATGCGGGGGTATTCGGTGTTGTTGTTGGTGTGTTGGTGTAGTTTTTTTTTGTTCTGGAATTGTATTATTTGAGAGGTTGTATTGACTGTCCTCGATTGGTAATTCGTGTCTCAATTATATATATCAGATTCTATCCATGATCTAAGTGGATATCTATATATCGTTTTGAGGTTCTACGGTTCCACACATGCGGTATCGTTACGCTATAGTATATCTTTCTCTGATCACATCGGATAGGAGCGTTTCTCGGAAGCACTATTGACATGTGAGGCGGATCTGAGATATTCATGTGAGATACCTCGATCCGTCCATAATTTGCCCGTGGTTCTACATTCGGATATGCATCGATGAACGTTCAAAAACGTCCCTCCGGAACGAGATCATGCAGAGAATGTTGGCGAACCGGACGTCTTTCATTTGACGTAACCAGACACGGGAAAGTCTACTAGTACTCGGCTCAGTCCTTCTCTTGAATTGCTGCAGAAACACACGCAGGCGCGACCTGCGGGGTTACTTTCCTTATTGTCATCGACAAAGGGGTTGATGTAACGTAGGGTGGGGGCGCCACAATGGCGGTGATGCTGCTCGCAATTTCCGCTTCTCTAAGGTTGTGGCGTAGACCCGATTGAGTGGGAACATGCTCCAGGGGTTTGTGTAGATCGTGTCGGACTATGTTGGGTGACCCTACTGGCACTCCCCCTTCACGGTTGAGGAATATCGTGCGTCGCCTGGAGTAAAGATGAAGCTGAGGTATGGAGACGATTGTTCCTTCAGAGCAATTCCCCAGCATCTGGGTAGCGCAAGTCGGCGTTCTCTTCCAAGAATGCCATCCACCGCTTGAGGAACCCGCTTCCTCTGTTAAAGTAGGCTATGTTAGCAAAATTCCATGCCAAAAAATATTGTTAGGGGAACTCGTAGAGGCCCGAGGGGGTATTGTAGTCAAGGCGAAGGACTCACTTGCTGATGGTCTCTGAATCACCACAGACGCAAAGATGCCGTTTGGGGCGTGTCATAGCAACTAGTAAATTAAATCAGTTTATGTGTTCAGCCGTAATAGAGGCATACATACCGTTCAGACGTCGCTTCTCTCCCAAGAAACCAACCTCATTCTCACTGTTACTTCGCACCAGGCTGACAACAACAGCCTCTTTCTCGCGACCCTGGAATCCATCCACACTGCCTAACTCGATACCCGGATACTTCTCCCGCAGCATCTGGGACAAGATAGCTAGCTGACCGTTATAAGGGGTGATGACAGCGATATCCTCCGGTTTCAGCCCCGACTGCACCAGGTTGTCTACGTGCTTCGCAACAACCATTGCCTCCATTTCGTTGCTCTTACTCTCACCAAGAAGGGCCTCCTTTTGCCCTACTTCCTTATCATCAGTCTTTTCAGGGAAATCGCCTCCTTGAGTGTCCCAGAATACCAACGGCTCTTTTGTATCGTCGGTCTCCTCTACCTCGTATGGTAGGTCCTTCAGAAGACGTGCTTTTACCGCTTCGCCAGCCATCAGTTTAGACTCGTACAGCTCGTCTGACGGAAACCGCATGATTGTCTCGTGCATTCGATACTGAGTAGTTAGCATTCTTTTGATGCCTTCACCATGGAGTGAAAGCAGTCGATCGAACATGGTCGTCTCGAGAGACATTTTCCCAAGAACTTCCTTGTCACCATCGTTGACGGTGTCCGCCTGCCCTGCCTTTGTATCTTTAGTCTTCTGAACGGTGGACTTCACAGTTGGAGGCAATTGTAAATGATCACCCGCCAGAACAACTTTAGGTGCAGAGAGCAGTGAAATCCAGCATTGCGCCTCCAAGGCTTGACTAGCCTCGTCGATAATCACAACGTCGAACTTCTGGTTCTTCAATTGATGCCCACCTGCCCCATGCAGAGTCGCAAGAACCACGCTGCTCTCTCTAACCAGATTATCGACGCATTTAGACTCTCGATCCCTGAACTCCCGACGCAACTCTTTCAAATCCTGGTAAATCGCCCGCTTCTCCCTTCCAAACCTAGTCTTCCGAATACTAGCTACCTTCTGATCAATCTCCTTCCTAACATCCCTCACAATTGAAGCGGCATCCGACGTCTGCGTCAGAACCTCCAACGAATGCTCAAGGACAGACGGCAACAAACGCGCCGGATGACCAATACGCACAACAGACACTTTTTTCGGCGCAAGTCTCTCAACAATATTATCCACCGAGATATTCGAAGGCCCGCAAACAAGCACCTTTAATTTCCGCTGCACCATCTGCAAGATAAGCTCAATCAAGGTATGAGTCTTACCGGTACCTGGCGGCCCATGAATAAGCGCAATATCCCGCGAAGCCAAAGCAAACCGAATAGCTTCCTTCTGCGAGTCATTCAACGTCGGGTCGTTGAATTCAACATCGCCCACAGCCTCATAATCCGGCGGCAGAGGCGTCGTATGTCCAAACGCAACCCGCATAAAATGTGTATGATCGGGCTCGGTCATCTTCCCCATTTTCTCCATCGTCTGCTTCATCCGTCGATACGTCACATCGTTCGCGAGCTTTATCAACCATAGCTTCTTCCCCCAGAGCTCCTCGATCGCCTCGTCGTCTTCCTTGGATCGTCCCCCGCCGCCCTGTTGACCGAACGCAACCCAGACACTCCGCTCCCCGACCCGTGTAACAACTCCCTCAGGGCCCTTGGGTGGTCCTGTACCCGCTGGCTTTCCATCTTTGCTCACTTTGTCCTTTCCCACTTTCTTCGTGGAGCTCCCAATCTCATTCACCCGGACCACGTCACCCACGCGAATCCCATGCGCACCTAAACGAGGTTCTCCATCCTTCCCATCGCTATCTGTATTCTTCGTAGAAACAGCCGCATCTGCGCCGAATTCGCCCACGACGCGGCCCCCGAGGCCCGTCCGGCATTGCGAGAGGACGATCCCCGTCAGCGCATAGCCTGTTGCTTGGAGGGTTCGTCTGGTAGAAGGTGAGACCGATGCGGCGGTGCTGGCGAGCGTGGAGGAGGAGACTTCGGCTTCGTGTTCTTGGAGAAGAAGCTGTTGCTGGGTTTGGGCGAAGAGGGGTATGGGAATTGGTGTGGGAGCCATGAGGTTTAGGTTTGGTCGATATTTATATAAACATTAGTTTCGTTGGAAAACTATGTATATTCCGACTCTGGAGTCAAGCTTGTCTGGTTGGATGCCGTTCTGTACAATGTTGTGTAGAGCTTTAGGATGTTGGTTTGTTATGTTCGGAATTAAGAGCGAGCTGGTGGGGTTTTATGTCCGCGGGGATGATTTCATAATTTGATCTGCTTAGTCATGTGTTTACAACATTGTAGGTAAATTTGATCAATGATTCTTGTTCGACTGGAATTAATTGGAAATATCCATTCCTTTCCGTACGGTTGATGAGATCAAAATGAACATGGCCATATACATGGGCTCAGTATACCTATCCATAATGCCCCAAACTATGATAAATACTGGATCTAACAGCCTATATGGGAAGGATTTATACCAATGTGGAACGAAAACAAAACTCATTAACTAGCTTTGAAAAATACAATTGCGAACGAAAGGGAGGCAACAAATGGATAGAGTGTTCGAGAAGAAAAGAGATATTCACAAGCATATCCTCCATACTTTCTTAGACGGCCGCGTCCCCGTAGATTGGGGTATGGAATTGGATCTTCTCGAGGCGACTTGTTGGTGAATATCTACCAACCGATTTCTGAGCTTGGATGATCTGTGTGCAAGGATCTTTGCGTCTCGAGCTCGAGCGCGCGAGGGGAATACTATGAAATGTTTTGTTCGTCTCATCATCAGGCATTAAAAAACGAAACCCAAAGAATAGGCGAAAGATACGGGACAATCCAGTGGTAATTAATATCAGCCAGAGTCTGTTTGGTCCCAAAATGGGGTTTTATGTGTTCAGATGTTTTTGGCCAATAAATGGCATGTGGCTGGGTTTGGATCTTCCATGACATGCAAAACCCAGCACAGCCCGTTCCACGTCCTTTTCATATGAACGCTCATCCGCCAAATATACACGAAAGTCCCGGAGGCCGCGTAGGTCTACAAATGCCTTAAGAAGTTTGCGCAGGTATTTGTTCCTACTCTGAATTGCTCCATTGCCATAGTTCTTCGTGCCAAGGTCGATTATTGTGAGGGACAGGTGAGGAATATCAAAGTGTTCGCGGATGAAGCGGCGCAACACCGACCAAGACAGCAGTGCTGCATCCTCCACTCTGTGAGCAGTTCTGGCAGGGCTTCGAAAGGTCAACGGAAACTTGAAAGTCAGGTGCCTGATCTGCATGGAGGAAGACGTAGGGATATAATGCAGGAGTCTCATTATGAGCTCAGGGTCTTCATCCGTGAATGCAAAGTTGTTCTTCGAGAAAAAGACCCGACGGGCATCCTCATAGAATTCTCGGCTGACCAGAAAATAGGGCGTGGGTGAAGAGAAACAAGAACAGGTGGTGGAGAAGGCCGTTTGGCGAGCGTAACAGAAGCACATGGCTCGCAAAGGTGAGCAAGTCCCGCAACAAGTGAGGGGATAAATAGTCGGTCGTTGACGTCTGCGGTCTTGCAAAGTTACGAGGCCGTTTGGACACTCTGAAGCCATGATATAAGGATCAGGACGGTTGATTAGAAGTTGCTCGAGTATAAGAAGCTGAACCTCTTTTGGAAGTCGAAGGAATCTAAACGGAGGCCTATCTCCAAGGTTGTTGGTCAGCCGCCAGCAGGTTCGCTTGACCACAGCTCGAATGTCATTCTCCTGGTACTGATTGAGATGAATAGCACATTGGTCCAAAGAAGGGAAACGATCCATTGCGCACATCAATTTGTGCGCAACCTCTAGATCCTTAACCCTGCACTTCAGGCTGAAGTACGTGAGAGAAGGCATCTTCATCGCAGCCAAGTCACAGAAAGCGACCCACATCTTCATGATTGTCCGATGGATCCCTCCAGATAGCTTGAGAAAGCGCCTATCACTAGGACCCAGGTCAATATGAAGATATTTCAAGTGCTCCATACCCCAAAGTGTCGCTTCACGGAACTTGCAAAAGTCTGCCTTCTTGTAGAGAGTAGCGCTGAATCTGTTGAGGCCAAAAAATAAAGGACCAATTTCATCGCGGACGGCACGAGAGGTCTGGAACAATGCAGTGGGCAGCCGAGGATGAGTACAGCCCCTGTCAACAAAGGCAGTCCATGACCCCTTAGTCTCACGCATGGAGGTGCGACTACACAAGGGTTGAAGAGTGGGGTTCCTTCGGACACACTCGCTTGTGATATCAATCAGACAAGGGCGTAGCAGTCCAGCATACTCTAGAATCTTGATCTTGGCAGTTTCTGGTAGACTAAGAAACGATGTACCCGGCTGGAATGAGAGGCCCATCTCGACCTCCATGGCTGAAGGGCCACACAAAGAACATGGATCGGTTGACGGAGATTCCTCCCTGCTGAGGCTCTCCATAGAAGAACTTGGAGTGTTCAATTCATTGTACAATTGCCAAAAGGCCTGTTCATCGGGATCCAAGGTATCCATTTCGGGCCTGTTGTGATTGTTTTGACGGCACAACAGTCAGCAGGTTGCCAGGGTGTCATGAGGGCGAGCATTTAACAGTGAATAGGGATGGAGGGGTCTTACATGTAGTGAATGTGGTTGTCAAAAGAGAGTCACGTCGTAAGGAGCGCTTAATGGTTCATTAAGTTGATTATGAATTGCGATCAGATATTCAATAGGGGGGCAGGCAAGTTGGCTGGGGCATTAAAAAAGAAAAGAAAGTAGGAACGGCAGCGAGGTTGACTACACTGGAGGAGGGAGAGTAGTGGAAGAGATTAGACGAGAAATATTTGTCCATGTAACAAAAGTCAATAAGTTGGATGTCGGTAGTTCCCAACAGGGAAATCAAGTTGGAGCTAGAACCTCGTGCCTGGGGCACTCAATTCACTCCCCCTCAATTTTTACTTCCACTCCGCCTTCAACACTCTCCTCCTTAGTGTCGACCTTCCTGCTAGATACAAGGCCTTTGATCTCGCTTTTGCATAGTTTCGTCCCCGCGAGGTCACAATCCCCGCATTTCCTGCCTACTGGTAAGCAGACCGTTTGTCCCAGCCCGACAAGAAGCTTGTTGATCTCGTGCCATTTATCCTTTGGCAACCATGATTCCAGCGCCTTGCGAGTGTCCTCCGGTGTTTTTGTCTTGTTCCAGCCCCAGAGGTTCGTGATGCGATGAACGTGGACATCAACTCCAATACCTTCATGCTTTCCCCAAGCAGCGCTCATACAGAGATATGCCATCTTCGGACCTACTCCGGGAAGCTTCATTAACTCCTCAGCAGTCGATGGAATGTCGCCCTGGTACTGATCACGAAGAATGACAGCTGCGGCCTTGATATACTTGGTCTTGTTGTTATGGAAGCCCACCTTGCCGATCAATTCGTTCAGCTGCTCGGGGGTAACAGCCAGAATATTCTTGAGATTCAAAGTACTGTCTCTGAGGGGCTTTTCTAACTTGAATGTTTTTTCGTCTGGCTCTTCCTTGATCATACTGGTCTCTATCAGAGGAGCTTCGCCATTCCCAAGCTCAGTGTGTAACCGCTGCATCGCCACAGCCGTGACGGTATCCTTCGTTTGGGAAGACAGCATCAGCGCAATGAGAGTCTGAAATCGTCGGTCTCGCGGAGATGAAGCTCGCCAATACAACTCGGCACAACCCATGGTATCCACCGGAGCAGTCGGGTTAGCCTCGCGCATCTTTTTGACAGTGGCGTATATCGTGTCCCAATTGGAGGGTGGCTCTACTTTGAATGAACCATCCTCTTCTTTAATTTTTCGTGCAGGAACGCGGCGTGGCTTCTGTGCTACAGGCTCGGCCTTGACAGCTTTTTCAATCTTCTTCTCAGGAACCCTTGTTGAAGCTCGAGAGTTGATTTTCCGCGGTGGCGCAGTGTCTATATTGCTTTTCTGCCGTTTCGCCGGGGGCTCCATTATATCTTCAATGTCCACCGTGTTGAGAGACGAGAGAGATGATGTTTCATCATCACTCGCAGGCAACTTCGGTTCAACATGGCCATTAGAACTTCCGTTATATGTAAAGCTGCGCAGCGCATTTAGATTGGAAGAACTACGCGTTTGCCGGCGCGCAGGAGGCGATAGCGCCTGCAGGACTTTCTCAGTCTGCTTCGATGCTCGAGATGTTCGCATGGTGCAATATACAGGAATCTTATATATATGTAGCTTTAAGTCTGTTGTGACATTCACATGGAATCAAGGGTCGACGGAGTTTTTAGGGGTCGGATAGGCTGGGTTGCCAAGCGCATCCACGCGGAGCGGACGATCGCAGAATCGCATGGGGAAGAAAGACCCACGGGACCGGTTGTTAAGCCTCGGCGCAACTCATGTCGCGGTGAGTAACCACTTAAGTTTGCCGTGCGATTTACTTCCCCTTGCTTTTAATCCTCTTAGTCCCTGCCGACAACAGCAACGCCAAACCATTTTCAATTAAATCTCACATTCTGATTACTCCGATAATAAACAAGCGTCTCAGCGCGACAGGTTCGCGATCCACATTCCAGGTCACACCCCTCATGGCGTCATCCTCCACCATCAAACGCCTCCTCAGCGAACTGAAAAACTACACAAACAACCCAAATGAAGTGCTCCTCCACCTCGGGCCCGTCGACAACGATGACCTCTTCCGCTGGGAGGCAGTTCTCAAGGGTGTAAAGGGAACACCATACGAAGGTAGCAATTACCAACCCATCTCGGCCGGCCCTCTCCGCATCACCACTCCAGTTTCAAATTAAAGAACCTTGACTAATGAATGATAATATAATCTAGGTGGCCTGTGGTCCCTCTCGATAGAGATCCCCCCAAACTACCCTAACGCCCCGCCCACAATCCGCTTCAACACCCGAATCTCCCACCCCAATATCTCTTTCACCACCGGCGAAATCTGCCTGACCCTTCTCACAACGGAGCACTGGACTCCCGCGTATACGCTCTCGTCGACCCTAACGGAGATCCACCAGCTCCTGACGAATCCAGAGCCCGACAGTCCGTTGAACGTGGATGTGGCGGTGTTATTAAGAGAAGGGGATATCCCGGCTTGGGAGAGTATCGTGCGGTATTGGACGGAAGAGGAGAGGTGGCAGGGTCATGAGTCTACTTCCTTTGCGCGGGCTTAGATTTTTTGCATGTTATTTGATTCTTAAGTGAGTGAGAGGAGACATATTGGTGGTAGATGGGTGGCACCGAGTTTTCCAAGTTATTTGTGTCTTTGTCCGTTTCGTTATGTCGGCATTACGATCAAGCTATACATATATATTCTACGCAGAAGAACCATGTCAATTACAAGCTCCAAGAAACACAACTCCAGTAAATCTACCAATATCTCAATTGCTCAATATCTGAATGCAGAACAAAGATCTAAATATGCACACGCTCGACAGAACCACATTTAAAGGAGCGACACCACAAACCCTAGACCCCTAACTTCAAAGGAGAGACACATGTCGGAAGAAGACGCCATTTATGCAAGGATCGTAAGCCGGCGTTAGAAAGGGTAAAATAACAACATAACAGTAGAATAGAATATTTTCGGAGGGAAAGGCAAAACGCCATTTATGCAGAAGAGAGAAAAAAAA